TACAACATTTATTTACAATTTAGTATTTTACCTGTAATAACACGAATTAATAATTTAACAAATTTCCATTTTTTATTATACAGGTTAAGCTTTACTCTTGCAATCAACTACAATTGGTTTTGTTTTTGAGAATAGCTGGGAAGAGGAGGGTTAGATACCATCTTGCAGTGTAGCCTCATTGATCACGTCGTCCTCTTGAGTTATGTTCCTTCTGTATAAATAATTTAAATTAACCAAAACCGAAAAATAACTATTTGACTATATTCTGCATCGTCAAATCCCTCAAAGAACTTACAAATTGGACCCTAGATACTTACACTCATTCACAATTTCCTCCCCCCCCAATGGACCGAAAAACTACTCGCCATCCTGAATAAAATAAAGTGATAGTTACCAAGTAATAGTGGTCAAGCTGAAAATTTGTTAAAAGGAGGGAAAATTCAAAAAGGAGGGGTTGGGATGGGGAGTTGGTGTCCTAGTGGATTGAAGTCACGATAGCCCAAGTTGTAGAGGTGGTAGAGCAGGTGTGTATCTAGCGGAAGGTGGTGGGTTCGAATCCCGCACGTGACACTGACTTTTTATCTCAACCAATACCTTACTTAAAGATTAATTAATTGAAAAGAATTTGTAAAAGGTTTTTATCGAAAATAGTAAATACCGTAATGTTTTGATGGCTGAAAATGAATGTATTTGAGAGTAATTAGGTTATGAAAATTCAATTTAAGGTATATATGTCTGTTAGTGATATAAAAGGGGACTGATGTCTTGTGTAGGGAAAAGGGCTGCGTCGGAGATTATAAAAAGTCTCCAATTCCGTGTGTATTTCCGTCACGTAGGGGTTTGTGATTACGCCGGCTCACCTTATCCAGTCTGTCATGTGGCAATTCTCATTCTCAATGCGAATTCACGTCCCTGAGAATCCCGACGCGGAGGTTCTGTTGAAAAAACGATTGATCGAAGTTTGATCGGATTGTTTGCCGGTTTGCTTCGCTAATCGGCGGCCGGCTTGGGGTAAGTTGGAGATTTGTCCTTGGGTCTAATGCCGCCTGCGTGTCGGCCCAATCACCGCGTGACACGCTCTCATGATACTTTATAATACTTGATTTAAAGTAATACTTAGCCGACATTTTTCTCCTTACGATATTCCCAAAAAATGTAGGTCATGTATAACCCATTCTTCATAACACCCAAAAGCTTCGACAAAGATCTTATACACAGTCACACAACAAAAATATTGTAAAATAGTTTTTTTGCATAAATGGTTTTTGTTATTTACGATCTTGAATCTCCGAGTGTAATGTAGAAAGACATAATAAATTTTTTTAAAAGAATTAATCTTTATTTAAGGCATTGGTTGAGATAAAAAAGACAGTGTTAGGGGCAAGTTTCGAACCCACGATCTTCGGTTAAATATGCCGCTACTCTGACCACTTGCGCTATCATAACGTCGATCCACTCGGACACCAACTTCCCATCTCAACCCACCTTTCGAATTTTCCATCCTTTTTGCCATTTTTCAAAAGTCGTGTAATCAGGATTCGATTCTCGGCGACAAATGAAAAGGCGACGGAGAGCTTTAGTGAAGATATACTTCGGTCCGATTGACCAAATAACTTTTTTCAATTAATTAATCTTTATGTAAGGTATTTATTGAGAAAAAAAAGTCAGTGTCACGGGCAGGATCGAAGTCACGATAGCTCAAGTGGTAGAGCAGCGGCGTATTTAGCCGAAGATCGTGGGTTCGAATCTCGCTCGTGACCCTGACTTTTTTATCTCAACCAATACCTTACATAAAGATTAATTAATTGAAAAAAGTTATTTGGTCAATCGGACCACGAACTCTAATGGATTTCTAAAGAATAACAAAAAATATCAAGAATAATTAATTCTACTACCTCGACACAAAATTGAGCCATTAATGTTGTCGACCATGTTGAATATTCATAAGCGAGAACTAAATGATTATTGTCTTTAGGGTACATTTGATATAAACAAAAATGATAATTACAAAAAAGGACATTCTAGCAAAAAAGAACAATTTTTAGAAACAAGATTCCATTGTTATTTCAAAGAGAAAACCTAGTTTTTCTGTTCTAATTATTTTTATTTATTACAAAAAATCTTTTTACCGGTAATAACAGTTTTTAATTGAAGGCATTGTGAAAGTATTTGGCAGGTGGCGTTTATGTGGAAGCAATTCCATCTTGTCTGAAAGTTGATCCGGAAGATTTGAGAATTTTAGATAAATTTCCAATCCTTTAAGTGCCTGATATGTTAAGCTCAATGAAATGAACTCGTTTAACTAAATCAAGTTGTGGTAGGTCGATTTTATAAAAATGTGATACAACTTTGTAATCTAATATTAAACATTTAACATGATAACAATAGTAATTTGTTTGTCAAAATAAAAGTTTAATTATTCTAAAGAAACCCAGTATGGCATGAAAAATTTCCTGTCAGAGATTAAACAAAACAACAGCAAAAAAATATTAAATGAATGAACGTAGAACACAAAAGAGAAGCTAAAACTTGAAATAAAATTGTACAACCTGTTTAAGATTTAAGTTTGTCCACAAGTTTATACCTATATTGCCATGAATTTCTCCAATATTTTATAAGTGGGGCCGGTTCGGAATTTAGCTCGATAATTAATTAAACTGTGGCTTAGGTGGATTAGATGAATTTATTTTAATTTAGAGTATTCAGGAGTGAAGCGAAACATCTTCTCTGACGCTAGACATAGAGAGCACAGGACAGATGGTTCTTTCATTTAGGTAATTTAATTTATTTTATTATTTTATTACTAATTTATTACAATAACGAACGACTTTGGCGGAATTGTAAGTAATTGAGCACGCGCTTGAGGTGATTTGCGATGACAGTGGCTAGATCGATGGCCACCTAGTCTGCACCGATTCCCTGAAATACGATGAACTGTAGCGGCAAAACGGTGGTTGTTGTCTGGCTTGGGTTACGAATTGGCGGAAAGTCAGCTAAGGCTGGGACATTCCAACTCCTTACGTAATCAACGCGATCCTGCCCCCTGGAGCTAAAAATGCAATAAAAAACATTTAAAAAAGTGGGAGCTGCAGCGTCGGTGGGCCGGATCGTCAGAGAAGCTTTCGCCTGTCAAGAACACTGTCGACAGGCGTCCCGAGGAGGAACTGACTCAGGAGTGGGTCATCCTCACCAGATTAAGAATAGGTCAAACCTGGTTAACGCACGAACATTTACTTTTGGTCCAAAGCCCGCATATCTGCCCGGCATGTGTAGAAGGTTCTCGATATGTCTCACCTAATGAAGGATGGTTCCATACAGAGAGCGTGAATGCCACACGTTATGAATCGTGCTTGAGCACATCAAGAGTAGAGATCCTCTTTTTCAATTTTTTGAGAAACACGGTTATTTTATTGTACATAGACTAATCGTGCATCTAGCGTGTGTTGAGAGTGAATATATTATGGTTGTAAAATGTCTAATGGGCGGAATGTTGAGTATCCCACCAACCTTCAATTAGGTAGTTATAAAATAGTTTTAAAGCAAAAATGTCGAATACACCACCTTAGGGATAAAAGAGGCGGCCACAAGGCCTACTGCGCCTCGACCTGAATTGTGCTCCTCTATTATTTATAACTCACTGGCCAGCTTCAGATTATTAACCAGCCTCTACAGCTATGCCAGCGGTTTCTTGATGTAGGATCTTGCTTGTGTTTGTTCTTGTCCTAGTTGCAAAAACCTGCACCTACATAAAATTTGTTCTGCGGTCTCCTCCTCTTCCTGGCAGTATCTGCACAGTGTTTCTTCTGTCTGTACTCCTATCCGGTGCATGTGCTTTCTTAAGTGGCAGTGTCCTGTCAGAAGTCCAACCAGAATCCTGGTTCGGTTGCGGTTGCCTTCCAGTAATTCTTTTGTAAGTTTTGCGGATGTTCCTTCCATGAATTTCTTCGCGTGCCTCATGGTACCTTCACCATCCTAACTGAGTGATTGGTAGTTTGGAGTTGTTTATTGTAAATTACAAAAGCTGGAATTGCCAGTGAACATCGAGAATTGATAGGCTCAACTCTGTACATATGTGTATGTACATACATGCGCAGATTTGAGCTTATATAAGTCAATAATCAGTTTATTACAGTGATTTAGCCACAGTAGCTTGCTCCTCATTTTAAACAACGACCGCAAATTATCCAGTTTCTGATACCGATTAGAATCAGAAACAAATTAACAATAGGGAGATGTATAATCAAGAGCTTTACACAGATGAAAGCGGCATTAAAAATACGGTTATGTTATGATTAAATTTTATTTTCGATCTTATTCAATTTCAAAAATCTTTTGAAATATTTCTAACGAGGTTGTAAAAAGAAAGACGGTTAGGAAAATGAGAATGCCTATAGGAAAACTTCTATATTCAAATAGTCAAGAAAAAATATCAAAATGCCCCTGAAGTGTCAAAGTTTAAAGTCCATACATTTTTCAAAATCCAAATAAACATTTAGTTCTTTAACATAGCGATATCAAGGGACGTTGTGATAAATTTACACACTTGGAAAAATTATTAAATTATTCGTAATCTGGGAGTCTTATCTTATCAACAAAGGCATTATTTTGCAGAGAAAACCTTCTTAAACCGTCCTTATGAAACATCTTTTTATAAATATACATTTAAAAACACAAGCTAAGATAAAAACGAGCAAATATGAAGGAGCATATCAACTGAGATCTCAATTAATCTATGATAATTGACCCAGACCGCATCTCACGATTTCTGAATAATTATTGAAAGGTTAAGGCTACTAGAATTATACATAGAATGTCATAAAATTGATCTAACATAAGATAAAGGAGCAAATCAACTGATTATGAGATCTCAGTTGATGTGTGATTTGTTTTTCAAATCAAAAACAAAAAAGTTTTGTTTTTCAAAAATTCTCGTATTCTTTTAAATGAAAATTATTATTACATATGTGTTTTTAATTATTATTATAATAGGACGAATCTGTTCCGCATAATTCAAACACTTTGGTGAAAAGTCTCAAATTTATAAATTTTGTAAATTTATTTATTGAAGATAATTAAAATTTGAGTGTCATTTGTTTTTATAAATTTGTACTCTGTTTCTATGGTTATAGAATATTATTAATTCGATTCAGTATAAAAATCGTTTGAATTTTACCAACGAATTTTATATCGAATATGGCTAATTTCATTAACTCCACTTTTTTCAAAGTGGGACTCACCGTGATGACTGGAGTTGTGTTCAGTACACGTTGGCTTGGGAAGAAGAAGTACATACATGAAGATACGGACATGACCGAATTTCCCGGAACTGAAAAAACCTCCGTCTCTGTAGAAGAAGCTGAAGATGCACTCGTCAACATGGACAAAGCGGAAGAATTTGCCGAAGTACAAACCAGCACGGACGGAATAACAGAGGAAGAGTTGAGGGAAAGAGTGGTTAGGGAGGTTTTCAATTTTACTGTCGCGCCAATATCGCATAGACCTTCCCTGCAAGATACAACAATACCTGGAATGACTAATGGTCAAACAAATTTGACATCAACCACGGACGATGACGAATACAGGAGGAGAGAGATGTAATTTTTTCTTGGAATGAGTTAGTTTCATTATGTTTTGTATTACTGACTTCTATTTTTTCCAGAAATTACCTTGGATATTTTACATCCTGGTAGTTTATCCATTATACGCAATTTTTCTATTTAACTAGATTAGTTGATTTTTTGGTAAGTTGGTATAAATTAATTCAACAACCTGCTTTACTAATTTATTATTTTTTTCCAGGCTGTATTTTCATTTAGACTTCATTTTTATACAGGTGTTTATTTTTTAATGTATATAAGAAATTAACTTTTTTTTATATTTCTGTTAACGATCATTTTGTCGTATCTATCTTCACTGTTTTCTGGCTTTTCAATCTTTCGTCCTTCTTGCCATTTTGTGTTGATCATCTTCGACCTGCTTATTACCATACTCGACCAATGTTAAAAAGGTGGAAACGTGTTAAAAAGGACAGAAACAGCAAAGATAGAGACTAAAATGATACGAAACGACTAAATTCTTGTTAATCCCTCGCAGACACAAAGAAGTGATCTCAAAATTTACTGTTTTTGTCAAACTATCATAAATATTTATAGGTTGTCTTGCGCAGTGCGTTTGTATTGACCTTTTTGCTTAATAGTTGTTCCTTTTTTTCAGATTTTTTTCATTATCTTCATTCAAAATTTTGTATAACAAATTAAGTAAGTACATTTATAAATAACTTAGTCATAAATTATTTATTTGAAAATATACTTCAATCAAACTCTTTTTTAACAACAAATTTAACAAATTTCAAATAAAACATATATGGTAATTTTTTTTATCAACTGTTTATACTATCTAGTTAAAGTTGAAAAAAAAAGTATTCTCTATTTTATAAAAATAAATGGTATAATTATAGAAACCTATAATTATAATATTTTCATTCTAACATTTTCTTACTTAGACAGATTTTTAAACGGACATATTGGACGATATCTAATCAAAAATTTTATACTTAGAAAAGAAAAATATATTATAGAATCGAAATGCCTATTATTTTGTAAGAGGTAGCTTGCCAAAAAAAAATCGGTCAGACCAATAACATCAAATCTAACAAAAAGCTTTGTATTAGAGATGATTTTCTTACTTAGACAGATTTTCAAACGGACATATTGGACCATACTAATCAAAAATTTTATGTTTAGAAAAGAAAAAATATATTATTGAATTGAAATGTCTATTATTTTATAAGAGGTAGCTTGCCAAAAAAAATTCGGTCAGACCAATAACATCAAATCTAACAAAAAGCTTTGTATTAGACATGATTGTCTTACTTAGACAGATTTTCAAACGGACATATTGGACGATATCTAATCAAAAATTTTATACTTAGAAAAGAAAAAATATATTATTGAATTGAAATGTCTATTATTTTATAAGAGGTAACTTGTCAAAAAACATTTGGTCAGACCGATAACATCAAATCTAACAAAAAGCTTTGTATTAGAGATGAAAAATTGTATATTAGACATTTTTTAAAGTATTCATACTATATTTTATCTGTTGGATTTAAGGTCTTTTATTTTACAAAAGATAACTTACAATAAATAAAATCTACTTTAATTGTTTTGCAGAAAAAACCCTACATTAGATATTTTAAAATATTCATACAAACTTTTACATGCTAAATTAAACAGGCCTACTAAATAAAAATCTACTTTATTTTTTTTCAGAAGAACAATTCAACATTAAAATAAAAACAATTTTTTTACAGAAAATTGTTTACAAAGCTTTTCCTTTTGCTTTTTAACTTATTACTGAAACTGTTTTATCCTTTCTGATCATTCAGAGCTTATATTTAAGCAATTTTAGTCTTTCTGCTCATTTTGTTCTGACTATCCTCGCTTTTTTAGTCTGTCAGACTTGTTTTAGGTTTACCTCGACTTGCTTATTAACCTTAAAACACGTCTAACAGACCAAAAGAGCAACCTACAGCTTTATAATTCCACAGAACCCAAGAAAATATCTCATATTTTATCTGCATTTTGTCAAAAACCCTTTCTGACAGGAGGACTGAAATGATAGGAAAGACCAAATCTCAGGTTTCAATCATACCGCAGGCACCAAGAAACACAATTCTTTTTATGATTAATACTTTTCTTTAAACACAAAAAAAAATTCCTTGGAGTGGATCCGAAAGTGCCCTGGAAATTTTGTTGATGAGGTGGCACTTCGCAAGCCAGGCGCATCAACTTTCAATATGCGTCATCGACGAAACGGAAGAAAAACACCGTTTCTGTTTAATATTGCTCGTTTTTGTTTTATGGGCTAAATTCACGAAACAAAAATTGGCCTTATATTTTTCAAAAAACAAAACAATAATAAATGATTTATATCTAATCCATGAGATGTCTCTCTCTAGTATTGATCTTTTGGTAAGACCTCAGAACTAATAGGAAGTCAATTAGTAGAATTATTATTCGGAATCCAATGCTCATCCCTAGAAACTAACCTGATTATGGAGTATCCTCAACTTCAATAGACAAAGCAACTTAGCGAAGTTTCTATAAAACAACACTTTAATGTTAAACGGACATCATTTCCGTAATATCGCCCAGTCGGTGTGGTTTATCCACCGCATTAAGTTTCGATTAATGCTTGAAGTTAAGTTTAAAAATAGTTTTTCAGTTTCGAAGAGAAATCTTGGCAAAGAAATCCCGACGCGCAATCTCACCAACACCATCTTCATGCACATGCCTGATTTTTATTTATGAAAGTAAAAAATATAACAAAAATATTTTTTAGTTTTACATATGTTTATTTATATTAAAAAAATCGTATGATTCGTATCATTATTAACGTTTTTTTGTTTTTTACAGGTTTAATTGCAGTGTATGATTTTTTCTTTTCGATAAATAAAGTGTTTATTTTTCTATAAAACCAGCTTTGCTTTATTTAATTAAATTCAACAAGAAAGTAAAAGTCTTAAGCGCTCGGATATTGTACGAGATTAAAAGCATAAGAAATGATTTTAAGATAATCTGTTATATGAAAACGTATTTAGCAATGCTGACACTCCTTTTACGCCTGATTATTGTCAGGATCTCATTCCTGATAAACTTTTTGGGCGTGAGCCAGGGGTCGCCGTCCTAACTACACTCGACAAGAAAATAAGGCCACCCGAAATATTATCCAATGTGATTATGTTTATTTTTATAGTAGAATTTTATAGTATTTTATAGTAGTTTAAAGGCATATTAATATAAAACAAAATTTGTTTGTTTGAAATTTTAGATCTATGCGTCAATAACACGTAATTTACAATCAATTATAACAAACTTTTAGGGTTACCAATGGGAGCATGTTCATCATAGCGGGTATATTTTAAAAATGAAAAATATCTACGGCACAAGTAAGATTAAAACGTAAATATATGCCAATATCTATTTATCAATTTAACTATCTGCATAAGAACATACCAAATATAACTATTTATGTACTTATATGGTATATCTGTCTACCTAACTGAGCATTGCACCAGAGAACTAAAACTAGGAAAACATTCCAGGAAGACAGCCATAAGGCCTTGGCCTCATGCGAGGTATAGGCAAAAGTGTATGGAATTGTGTGAAAGCCCTGACACCAATGACCTGACCCTGGCATGGGTCCCCGCGCATTGGGGGCATAGAGCCAATGATAAAGTGGACATGTTGGTCAAAAAAGGAGCCAATATGAATTTTCTAAACCCCAAACCCTAGCATCAAAAATGAACCCTTAATGAGTCTAAAACCTGTTCTATGAATCTCTTTTCGTGCCTGATACCTGTAGTATTGTTCCACCAGGTTTGGGACTCATTAAGGATCCATTTTAAGATGTATCCTAAGGCACAAAAGTGTGGCAGGCTGCTAAGCCGCAGTAGGGTTCTAGGCTCATATAGTCCATGTTGGCTCCCTTTTTGGCCAGCATGTCAAACTTTTCATTGCCTATATGCCCGGAATGTCCAGGGACCCTGCCAGGGTCAGGTCATTAGTGTCGCTGACTTCCGTCAGGGCCTCTATGCATTTCCAAACACTCTTTGCCTTCGCCTCGCATGAGGCTAACGCCCTGAGAGCTGCCTGCTTGTCAGAGAAAATGGCTATCTTTCGGGAATGTATTCCTAGCCTTTTTATTTCTCTGGCATATTGTTCGATCGCTATGATTTCAGATTGGAAAACTGTAAACTTGCCTAGGTTTACCGTCAGTTCGGTCTTGGGGTTCATCCCAAAGACCCCAGCTCCTGTACCCCTGTCGGTTTTTGAGCCGTCAGTACACCAATAGGAATTTGCCTTTAGTGGTGTTACCTTGACCCATTCTTCCCGTTCTGGTATCCGTACTTTGTACTTCTTGGTGAAATTGTTCTTTGGAGTGGTGGCATCAGTTGGCATACCTAGAATGTATGTAAAGGCATAATGTATATGGAATTGTGTGAAAGCCCTGACACCAATGACCTAACCCTGGCTTGGGTCCCTGGGCATTGGGGACATAGAACAATGAAAAAGTGGACATGTGGGTCAAAAAAGGAGTCAATATGAATTTTCTAAACCCCAAACCCTGCCACTCACAAAAACGGTTACATCCAAAAATGAACCCTTAATGAGTGTAAAACCTGTTGGAACGACTCAGGATGAGGAACGCAAAGAGATTCATAGAAGGGCCATCTGCAAGACTTTCAAAGAAATTATTGGAGGGCGATCGCAAAAGAACCTGTCAGACCACGGGGATCGAGATGGGGTGAGAAGCCGACATGCTGGAACTCTCAGTGTTTAGTATTGTTGGTTGAGGTTTATGGTTGTGTTAGAAGGTCACGCATTGTTAAGGTGGCTGAAGAGAGGTCTTGAGCTAGTGGATTGGTGTGGAATGAGAGCTTGGAGTGGAAGTTGTGGCATCGTGTTTGAATCATGGGATATCTAGTCTTTGTGGATCGTGAAATAGAAAAGAGCTCGAGGAAGGGGACTTTTGATTGAAAGGATTGTATTCTTTGGATTTTGGATGACTTGGCCGATCTCCACAGCCTGACTCCGTGAGTTAAAATCTGTCTAATTGGTGCCTTGTACATTGCAGGTTTGTTGTGTGTACTCATTTTGGATTTTGGGCTGTGGAGGGGTCTGAGTGTTCGTATCTTCGGTTCAGTTCTTGTCATTTTTGTTTCATGTGTATGCTCTATGTAAGTCTTATGTCTAAGTAGAACTCAAGGTAGCGGATTTGGTTGGGGGATTAACGTACTGTGTATGTGCATTAATGGGTAAATC